CAAACACACCAGCTAGGTAATCAACAACAACAACAACTTTTCTTTCCCAGGATTAACTACAGAGTGCAATTCGCTCGCCTTTTTTTTCTTCTTCTCTCACTATGACTGCATACAAGCAAACCTCCCGGCAGAAATTACTTGCATTTTAAACGTTATTGCTAATCTGCAACAGAGCGCGTGTTTCTCTAGCAAAGTCATTAAAACAGGCACGGGTCAGGATGCTGAGGCTGCATTCATGATTCTTTATAGTTACAATGTTAGTAAAGTATTTACTAAATTGACTACCACCTACTTCAAGTTAAATTTGCTGACAGATAAACTGAGCATAACCTCTGGCATTTTCAGATGTTTTCTTATGAATAGATATATTTTGCATGTTTTTGCATGCTAGGCCCTTTCCGAAATGCTGATTTGATCTCTGATATAAGGGCTTACTCACCCCCTTGAAGGTACAGAAGAAAGGCAGCAGTAGCTCGCATGTGGGTGAATGAGACTGTAATGTATAGAAAGCATAAAACTGACTCTTTTCAGATCATTTCAAATTCAAAAGCAGCAAAAGAACACTGAAAATTCTGCACTATTTCTGCACTGGTTAAAAATAATTAAGAAAAGTCCTGCTGAGATTTTTTTTAAAGGGAGATATAAAAAGAATATTATTTGCATAGTCACAAATCATGCTAAAATTATTCTTCAGCAAAAAAGACCACTCATTTCACAAGGGCAGTCCAGCTTCAAGAGACTGCACTATCTGTTAGCATCCTATTTTCAAAACAGACATCTCCGGGCAGATTTGTTACAGTTTTGTAGATGCTAATGTGTAAACAGATTGTAAAATTATTTGGGGGCCTATAATAGGATTTAATGCGTTTAAGAGGTAGTCTTATACCTCTTTAACAAAGAGGCTTACAATATGGTAAGAATGTATCACAAAAAATATAATGCTTTTAACAGATAAATCCTCTTGGCAAAGGCTGTAATCTTTCAAACTTAATTGGTGAACTCATTAACGAACAACTGCCACTACAAGAAGAAAGACTATTGTCAGCGACTTATCGGGCAATGAGATAACAAACTTAATTATATTGTTTTTAGTGGATTTACATTTGCTTCCTTAGGACACTAGATTTTCCAAACAGTATTTCCTTGGCTGTATACCATTTTCTTTTCGCCTATAAGAGGAAGGCAAACGTATCTGCAGCAAAGAAGGGAAGAGGAAAACCCAAACCGTCGCTGCTTTGAACTAAGCATAACACAGTACTAAAACTTCTGTCTTTATTATCTACTTGTAAAAAGTTATAAGCCTGTAAACTAGTTAATTTATGAGCCATGTTAATCATTTGTTCACATTTGATCTGAGGTTTAGCAAACACGGTTTCCTGGGACATAGGAGGATAATTTGCAGGTCCGGCGCGGCTCCTGAGGGGGCACTAACTAATCTGACACCGAAACATGACATTGATGGCAGGCTCACACTAATGACCGCGCCGCTAGATGCTCCTGTCATCCTGTCGTGGCAGTGAAAAGCAACTTTCTTCTTACTGCCAAAAAAGTGCAGAGTGGTCAGACTAATTATTCAGACATGCACTGTAATGAGAATCTGAGTGCTCCTTCCCAGCGCACCAACCGCTCGCTAAGGCCCCATTTGTCTGATACGGTGCCTGATTAGAATTTGTTTCTTGAATAGTAAAACCACAGCTTAAAATATAGTGGAAAGGATAAACAGCCTTTTATTCTGCATAAAACTCCAAAAGTGGCCATTTTGGTTTCAAGCTTTTTTTTTTTTTTGTCATTTATTTACACCACAAGAACAGAAAATTGGATTAATTTTTAATAGTACTTCTTAACATATATATCTTCATTGAGTTGTACTGTTGGAATCTGTCAGGACATAAATCCTGCAGACAAAGAGTGGCTCAGAAGGTATTTTATTTTCCTTCTTTTAGGAGAAATGACATTTGCTAGAACAGAAATTCGAACCAGACAAATCATAGGTTGAAAAAAGTGCCTGTCATTCTTTCTAAATGGTATTGTTAGGCCAACTGATTCCTCAGCATGAGCTCTGAAAGGATGTATGGGCTTTACACATCACAGAGTGGTTTGGATGGAGAAATAGAAGCAAGAAAAAAAAAAAAAGAGTAAGAAAAGTTGAATGATGTTTCCTAAATTCTACATTTATTCTTCACTGTGGGTTCTAATCCAGCACAGACAACAAGGTGTACCGCAGCTTTGTACCTGTGTTAGCCTTACAAATCTATAATTTGCAATTTGCCATACCGCAAAGCAAAAAGAGAGCAACGGAACCAACAGGGTTACATAAGCTACATATACAGGCTGAAGATACGTTAGCACCCTGTAAAGGAGCCCATATTTCTAAGGGTAACACTCAGCTCTTTCTGAAAAGCAAGCCCTTCTAAGAGCGTTTCAAGTAGGCCACCCAAAGTCTCACACACGCTACTGAGTCATTTAGAAAAACGTAATAAACTCGAAAGTGTTACACACAAAGGTGAAGGAGACACGCGCTGCAGTACCACCCCAGGACAGCTTCCACCTTTCCTGGCCAGCAGCTCACGCGAGCTCTGCAGGAATTCAGCCGGCCATCACAGCTCGTGCGCTGCAGTCCAAGTGCTGGAAATGGGTGAAGGACGGTGGGCGCCGCACCGCAGCCCTGACCCAGCTGCTCTGGCTGCTGCGCTCCTGCTAGCAGCTCACCGCAGAGCTCACTTGCACACAAAGACCTGTGTTAAGAGTGGCTGGATTTACGCGGCCCTCAGTTCTTGTGCTGGTTGGCTGCCCTTTGTCAGCAACCTGCAGCATCTGGAGCAGGTTGGAACTGCTAGGTCCTGAAGCAGGGACCCCAGTGAGAACAGGCCTGCTCTTTCCCCAAATCCAGTGGGCTGCATAGCACCAGGCACCTTTTGCAGCCCCTGATATCACAAATACCCATTTCCAAGCGTAGTGCCACAAATCTGTTACCACATGGCGCAACTTCCGAGATGAAAGTGAAAGCACATGTTTTGTGAGCCAAAGCAATACAACGTAAACACTGGGTACACGCTGTTACATGCCACTTTGCAGTGCAACATGCGAAGGGCACATGAATCATTAACGAGAGAACAACTCTGGCACCTACCCCAGAAATACCTCCATCAGCACTGAGCAGGAAAGAAGAGATCAAAAAGAGATCCCAGAATCATAAACGAAGGCTCAGCTCCCGCAGAAAGATACGCTTAGCAGCATTCATCTCTTTGGAAAATAGAGGCGCTGTATCCAAGATACGGCACCGCTAACATTTTCCACATGGCTGGGGATGGATTGGTGAGTGGCCTTCTCCTAAACAACATCATCTATACGTGCCAGCTGTTGGAAAAATGAAGACACGATGCATTTTGCACTCTGTTCTCATAAACCAAAGGTATTAATTCAGACAGACGAAGGGGAGAGAGGCACCGAGTTTATTTCAAAGCAGGTTTCGCCACGCTTGGCCACGCCATGTGGCCGTGCTGCAGCAGCCTCGTCGCCCAGCCGGAGGGTGAGGAAGGACCCTTCTGTATATAGCCTGACTGGGCCAGCCATAGCAGCGACAACTAAAAACTCAAATGTCCTTCTGTCAGTTTAACTGTTAGCTTGCAATGGATTCGGTTGCACTTCCCATTTGGGGCAGGTTCTCCCCAAGGGCTGACTAAGAAATGTTGGGCAAGAGGAAGCAGCAACCACCAAATAACATTAAAAAAGGGAAAAAAAATAAGTAATCTCACTGCCAGCTTCTGAAGAGGAGGCAGGATCTCTCTTGCCACCCCCAGGGTGTGCAGTTGGAAGACAGCTGCATCACAGTCCCACTGCTGAAAGCGGGGGACCCTGCTGCTGGAAAGAAGCTGGAGTGATGGGAAACCCATCTGGGCAGCCAGAAGCACCAGTGAGGGCATCCCATCCTCTCCCCCATTCCTCTGCCTCCCAGGCTGCCTCACAGGGATGTGAAGCACAAAGGATGCTGTTCCTAGGGAGTAAGAATAGGGGAGAACAATGTTCCACCGGGACTCTTAAACATTCAAAATGTAAACCTGTTCTGAGCTCATCCCTTAGGAATCTACAGCAGTTTGATCACAAATGCCATTTAGCTAATTCATAGATAGAATATGAATTTAGTTATTCAAGAATAAGTAAAACTTGCTATTTTCTTCCTTTGCTGGTCACAAAGAAATGCTCCTTCTGATGTGGCCCAGACCGGACAAAAATCTACGTAGGAAATTACTCAGAAGACTGGCTTCAGGCTAAGCATAAATCACTACATAAACTAAAATAAGAGATGATTCCACTGCGTTGATCCACACCGTCAGTGATCACCATAGCCTTCTGCTGTGCTTCAGGGGACTCCAGCATACCAGAAAACACAAACAAAAGCTTCTAAATCTCCATTTGCCACCTTTTCTCATCCTTGTGGCACCGTGAGACAAAAGACGCAAAACACACTTAAACTTGGACTAAAAGTATTGATTCCTCCACCTTCAAGAGGATCCAGAATTACACAGAAAGGTCTTTCTTGCCTGACCCAAATCCTCTGCCCTCTGTTTCACCATGGGCAGGCTGCAGTCCTGTGATGTGCTGAATCCAGAGGCACCTGGTCGCCAGCCCAGGAGAAGCAGCACAGAATACAGGCTGGCTTCTGTCTTCACCACAAACCTGTCTCTTTCTCTTTTAAAATACAAGATGGGTGTGTGTGTGAGATGTTGCCCTCAGTCTTCTGGGATTCTGTTTGTTTGTTTTTAAGTATTTTAGGAAGTTATGCTTCCATGTAATGTACGAAGGTGATTTGATGTGGTAATTACCTATTACATTTGACAAGGTAATTAATGTGGCAAAATACCACTGTACAATGTGTAAACTTAGTTTGCTATCATCAAAACACGTCTGCTTAGGAAACTGTTCTGTCTGGAGAAAAAAAAGAAAAGATGGAAAACTCCCAATTATGCATATTCTCTCATCTAGAAAACGTAAAGACTGACCTTCAGCTTCAAATATGTTCTGGACCAAACAGGCATTCTCTGGACAGAGAACTCTAAAAACAAGTAAAAAAAAAAAAAAGTTAGCAACACCTTCCAGGAGCAGTACAGAATTTCACTGAGATCCTTAGCATCTCAGATAGAAATGCCTGAGACTTCAATGCCAATGGTTTCTTCACAGCTCAAGAATACTATATCCTCAAAAACAGTTCTCTTTTCAGAAATTCCCCTCCAATTATCAGGTATCAACTCAGAATGAAGGGAAATGAAAATCAGCATAATGCTGAAAAGGTGCACAGAAATCTCCAATCAATCACATTAAATGCTCTGATGACTTTGTCCCCATCCAAGCCATCCAAGCTTGCAATGACATGAAGGAGAAGTCAAAAGAGATGTGCTGAGCTAACTATAAAGTAACAGAAACAAATACTGTAAATGATACTAGTATGAACAAGTTAAATATTCCTAAGTACAGCCTACAATCAATGTGCGTGGACCTATGGAAAACAGAAACGCCTCCTTGACTGAAGCACCCAAAATAAAATCAAAAACCTTCAGCTGCATACAGAGAATCTTCCCTGAGCTTCAGCCAGCAAGATTAATGCCTACTTCCAGATCTGATTTCCACTTCCGCTGTTTATCTGCTGAAATGTCCTGAGCAGTTTATGGTTTGAAATAATCTTGAACACGATGTAAATCTCTTTGCACAGAGACCAGCAAATAAGAAAACAACGCAAACTTCCAGATACCAAACCCAAGTGATTCAGAAGCAAAGGCATCCAATCTGCATTTGCCATATTATTATAAATTCATTATTCTTCTTTGGGACAACATCCTCCGCTACCTTTTAACAAGAAAACCCAGAATCTAGTCTGAAAACCTTATTGCCAAAGCAGCCCTTGGAAACACAGCAAAGACCCACTGGGGAGGCATTTTTAGCAGTTCTGTCTTCGCACTGGAGGCACTGTCTCCACAATAAGCTCCAGACACCAGAAAAACTTGAATCTACCAAGTCAGTATGAAAGACTGATGTGTGGCTGGCGGTACTGAAACCGCTCACTCCATCCCTGGACACAGCAGGGCACCACGGGCTCGCTGTCTGGCTCCTGGGCACAGCACGCACCACGAGCAGAAGCACAGCTCCACCAGTACAGCCCACTGCACCCAGGGCCCCTCCTTGCCCGCTCTCCCTCCCCTGCCTGGCTCCCAGACCCAAACGAGGTGCCTGCCAGGAGCAACGTGAGCCCAGCTCTTTTCACACCCAAGCACGAAGTGGCAGACAGGAGGAAAACCTCTCCTTTCCACAAGTTCTTCTGTTACTAATAGTCTTGATTTTATTACACAGAGGTGAGAAACAAAACCCAGCATTTGACTGAACTGGAAAAAAAGAAAAAAGTTAAAGAAAAGAGTGCTTTCTGTGAGGTATGCTCCTCTGAACGATTCAACAGGCTGCAAAGCTTTGGTTCTTGGTTGAACAGAGCAGCTGCCAGCCTCGTGCTTGGCCAGGGCAAGTTCTCCAGCTCTGTAGCACTGGATGCAGGAAGGAGGGGCCAGAATGACATGAGCCAGATGGCAGCCCATCTCCCCACTGCAGGAGGAAGAACCGCCTGGTACCAGCAGGACACCCAGAACAACCACACTGCTGAACTTTAGCTTCCCAACACAGAAGTACTGGTCCTGCATCTATCACGCGTCGAACCTGCTGCACATCGCTGCCAATGGCTGGTGCAGCTGACCCAGCCCTGCTGGGCAAGCACCCCACGGCTGTCAGGAGATGGCTGACCTACGGGTCCCACACAGCCTTAAGAGTAGCTTGGAAAAACTTTTGGCTTTGCAAGACTTAAAAAAAAAATAAAATTAAGTGAAATGCATTCAGGTGTGAGGGCAAGGAAAAAAAAAGAGTACCTACACAAATCTAAAAAATGAGTACTGCTTTCTCATTAAATACCGAGACCTCCCTTTCACAAACCCCATCTTGTACACACAGGGAAGCAGTCTGCACTCCCTCCTTCCTAAATATTTTCACTCACTGTTTAAAAAAAAAAAAGACAAAAGAGAAACCCCACGCTTGAATCTATCAGCAACACTTTAAGGGTCACGTAGCACAATCCTGGAAAGTGACTGAGGAGTTCAGGGAGCTCCACAACACTTCGTATTTTACCACAGGAGTCTCTCTTATAATGAATGGAACTGAAAACAAAAATAATTCCTTACATTTTTTCAAAAGGGTAAAAAATGCTTCAAAAACAGAAGTTGTACGTTGGGATTTTTCTTTTTCTTTTTAACGTTTTAATTATTCAGTGGGTATGGCATTATTTTACTGTATGAAATGTCTGATGCACAAAAAAGCCTATTCTTCTAGAAGCATAATTTCAACCTCAGTTCAAGCATATTCTTCTTGGCAGTAGCTAAAGAGAGTTTTGCTAAATCATAGCAAAATGTATTTTCAAGCAATGAGAAAATTCAGCATTGCACCTCTCTCACTGCTCTCCTCCTGAGCTTTAACTATGCTGTTTTCATACAATTAATTATTTAGGTGGTTCCAGGAACAATATATGGTTACTGCCACAGAGCTGCACAGACCTCAGCTGAGCAGCCATACAATTCACTGCTGTCTCGTTCTGCCCAGGACTTGTGCTGGCTGAGGAGAGAAATTTAGCTGGAGCTCAAAACTTGCTTAAACTTAGCGATTCAGCACTTCAGTGTTATTTTTCTAGGACGTAACTAGCAATAAAAGATTGCCATAAATACGTTCTCCCTATATTCATGCACTGCGTAAATACACTTTAATGGCAGTAATTGAAATCTGAATGGGATGCCAACACCTCAGGCAGACTGACGCGACATTTAATTTATACAATTAAACACGAGGGTGGGGAAGCACAAAACAAACAATGTTTGTTAGTTGCATGCTTTACATCAGACCTCTTTTCCCCTTTTACCTGTCCTTGCTCTGGTCTGGCTGGGCAGCAGATGGCACGAGACAGAGGACAGCCCTGGTGCGGCCGGCATCACGGCAGCGGGTGGGAGCCCACCACCAACTTGTCCAGATCAACAGGAGCAGAACAGGCAGCAGGCCACCACCCCCAGAGAGCTGCTGAGGCACCCACGTGGAGCTCTGCAGCAGCTTCACGCACCCCTTCAAGGATTCACAGGATGAACCCGAGGGCAAAAAGCCATCTTAAACCACACGGACTTGCTCACAGTCCTCCAAATGCAAGGCAACGCTTCAGCTCCCTTCGCCTGATGGGCTCTGGACTGGGACCCACTTAACTTGGCGTCAGTGCTGACTGAAAGGTTACATTCTGCCAATGGAATTAAACATGGAAGAAGCCATGTACGTACAAAGCCACCTACACCTAAAACATAGTTTAAGCTCCCACAGAACTGAACAAGTACTTTTTCTACCGTGACTAACCCTCTCGTACAGATCAAGCAGGGAGAGGTACTGCAGCCTGGCATTCTAAAGTTGAGCACGGATTCAGATCTCTCATCCCACTGTGAACATCCCACCTTCACACAGGCTACTCTGCTATCTCTTCAGTCGATGTATTGTGTTCCTACGTGCATACAGCTTCATTAGAGCACACAAAGAACCTCTGTACCTCAAGAATACATCTTTGAAGAAAAAGTGACCAAGAAGAGCACCTGTCACTATCAGAATTACAAGGACTGCTGTAGTAGGCAGGTGGAAAATCAAGGAAGAACATTTTCAGGCCACTGTTTTGCACTTTGTCATAGAGAAGATGCTGCCCTTCATACAAAAACTTCGTGAAAGGAAGGCAGAAAGCACGTGTGCGTGCATGTACAAGTGCACATAAGCAAATACACATATTAGCAATGTGCAATTTTTTAATGCATATCAAAACCACTCAATTAGGGGTTTTCTCACTTTCTGAATCTGCATCACAGCATTACATCAGCTCTTAACACCAAAAACAGGATACAAAGCAGGTACCTCTGCTGGTAGTGCTGCGGTGCTGGAGAAAGCAGGTGCAATTTCTCAGCACACAGACAACCACTGCAGTATGAAATGCGCACACAGTGATGGGCAAGGTGGGACAGGAGGTGAACACAGTAACTCCAAGGCAAAACATGTGGACAGCTGATGAAACTCAGCTCATAGCACAGATGCAATGAGTCGAACCAAATGTCAGTTCGCCTTGTATGACAGCGCAGAACAATTCCATCTTTGGATACGAAATACTAAGAGGGGATCAGACAAGTTTCACCAACAGCAAAACCTACCCACCTTTCCCAGGGAGGATTTCAGTGCAGGGCTCTTGCAGGACACAGTGGGACCTGCGGTTAAAGGAAATCCTGCCTGAGCTCATGAAGGCTGCGTGCTGCCATCGGTGAGCACTAAAAGCCAGCCATCCTCCACAGGAAGCCCACCTAATGACAGCCCAACAGCAGGCACAGCGCTGGGGACAGGGGAGCTGTGTCTCACCCAGAGCACCCGACACACATCGCCTTGTGTTGTAAGCTGGATGAGCACGCTGCCCTGATCACCACGAAGGAGCTGATCCCATTCAAAGAGCTCTTGCTTATCCTCTAGAGAATGTTTCTGCCTCGTTATTGAGGAAGTTTATCATATATCTGACCTCACGGACCAGGCATCGCCAGTAAGCAACAACAAAGACAAATAAATTAAACAGAATAAAAATAGAATATCTCAACTTTACCCTTCAGTTTACCACAAGGCACCTTTAATCTATTATTTTTAGTTCTACCTCCAGTTGTGCCATAAATATGTATTTACAGCACATGATTTTTCCTTTGGGATTATTTCTGCTCCTGTATCTTTTGCAGAAAATGAAACCTCATCTCAGTTAATCCTCATCATAAAAACATGATCAGTTTTATTACCATTAACTGCATTCTAATCCTGTTCAGATAATTTATCAGCATTTCTGGTTTTCAAAAACACAAAAAGATGCAATCTAGTTTTTTACCATTAGCATCATTTTTTAAAGTCATTTTATATTTTATCTTACAAGGTGATTGACTTGCTTATTTAAAACATGCATGAGATTTTTTCCTTTTTCTCTCCTTC